ATGCCTTAGTGTCTGTAAAATGTAAATGCAAAAAAAAATCTTTTTTCTTTCTCCTATTTTTGCTTACATTTTACTTTATCTCCAAAGAATTCAAAATGTATTGAATAGATTAAGTAACAGTATTTAGGGAGGTGGGGTTACTTGTATCATCTGTTTTAGGCTTCAAAGTATTTCCTCATCAAAGAAACCAAATTTTGTTAAGTTCTTTATTAGAGCTCCAGGATTAAAGATTTTTCCCATGAGGTGTCTTATAAAGCACAAATGGTTCAAAAGAAAAATGCTTTGGTTCTTAGTCGCCCAAACCAAAGTTCAGGCTCTTAGGCTTCCTCTTCAATAGGGAGTGTTGGAATCTGTGATGTCCTGGGCCGCACAGCTGGGATTTCAGGGACAATGTTTCTTCCATGTCCAGACGCCATCATGAACTTGGGATCCTCAAAGAGAGACGTGACCCAAGAGAGCAGGGTCACTCATAGGTCCAGCAGGGATCAAAGCAGTCCTCCTCCTGAGAAGCACCCTCAACTCTCAGCCCGTCCTTACAGAATGTCATCAACAGTCTGCCCACGGGCGGGAGGAAAAAAGGCAAAGGGTGTGTGGGGGGTGGCTGCTCACTTCCTGCCAAGACATGAAAGCAACTCAAGAATGTCCAACCACCTCCAACAGCCTTGTTTGCCCTTAGACTTTTTTCACCTACGTTTTGGCATTTCCAGTCAAAAAAATAATTGGTAACCCAAATATTTTAATAAAACATTTTCTAGGGCAGACTCATAGTGTTGGAACTACCTTAAAACAAACCTAGATAGCTATGAGAAACCCCATTTCAGTTGTTCCTTACATAAAGACTTGGTTCGAAGATCAATTCTTGAGATTCTTTTCTCTTTTTTTTTGGTCATAAAAGCATGAAGAGCATTAAAGAGAATTTTGATGAATAAATGTTTAAATTATTTATAAATTTCTACCATTTCAATACAAGTAATAAATATTGTAATATTACTGCAGACTTAATTATATGAGCAAGTAAATATTTATATACACAGTTATGGGTCTATTTTTGAAACTACTTGCATGAAATGTTTTTCTATTTTACAAAGTACTAATGCCAAATAAAGCTTAAAACACATGCAGAGGTCATGCCTATATTACACTAGAATTATTCATTTCCATTACCCACAAATTTAACAAGTGTGTGATAAATGTCATCTGCTTGGTTTGCCACCCTTTAGAAAACCATGAATATACATTTGGTTTTTACCTCTTAGCAATTCAACATTTCTTTGTCATATCAAAAAGTAGGTTATTAAAGAGACTAATTTACTCACATATAGTCTTTTAAATGCTTTTGACTTTTAAGGTAAGAAGTTTAAAAATGACCACTGCCATACCACATCAAGTGGCTAATCATTTACTGTGATATCTTGTCTCTGTGAGTACACCCCAAATATGGACTGTGTGAACCACAGTTGGCCCCAACAATGGCAAAAGATAAATGTTCCTCTACTATTTCAGAAGAAAAAGAAGTGCAGTTCCCCCTACTAAAGGCAAATCCCTCCTTATATGCTCTCAAGCCTACCTTCTCCCATCTCTTCTGGGAGCTTCTCAACCGGCCCTTATTCCATCCCCGCCCTCATCTATTCATCCTCACAAATGCCAAAATCATATCCATGTCTTCTCTCAATCCTCAGATACTATTTCATCTCTCTCTTTTTTCTCTTTATAAAATCTCTTGGAATCTACTCTCTCTGCCTCTACTTCCTCATTGATGCCCACTCAATGCTTGAAATGAAAATCCCATAATTATAGATCAAAACATTCTATTCACATCATCCTCTTAATAATCAAATCCACCAGACCTCTCCCAGTCCTCATTCCCATCAGCTTCTCTTCCTATCTGAAACTGGCACCTCAAACCACTCTTAGGAATCTCCTTTGCACTGTCCACCACATTTCCTTATCTGACTCTAGTTTCTTCTTCTTTCTATCTCCCTTGCAGACTCCACTTTGTCTTCTTTTCCTAGGAGTAAAGGAATTGTGCATGGATATTCCCCTGGGCTTCTCATCTCTCTGGGCCTCATTCCTTTAAAGATCCTTTGTAGTCAAAAGATGCCCAAATGTGCCAATTCTGTCCTGAACTCCAGGTCCACATTTCTTATTGCCTGCTAGAGATCTCCACTCACATGCATCTCACACCCGCTATGTCCAAACTCCACTTAACTTTCCTACCAAGACTGTTTCTCTTTCCCAAACACTAGGAGAAAAATCTACGGGTAATCTTCAATCATCTTCCCTTTCCTAACTCCCACGTTTAGTTACTATGTCCTGTATATTCCTCTTACACATACATTCCCACTATCGCCATTGCCTTCTGTCTGGATTGTTCCAAAAGCCAAGAGACAGATCTATGTATCCAGTCCCTTTCTTTCCTGACCCCTAATATACCTCAGCACTGCTTTCAAAGTAACTTGAAAATATGGTTCTTTGTGGTGTCACTCCCCTATAAAATGAAACCCAAATACCTTAACATGTTATTCATGCCCCTACAAAATAGCCTGTTATTGCACCTGCTCATGAATCCCCTACTATAATAACACTGCACACTTCACCCACCGGAATACCACTTTGCAATTGTCCATGGCTGTTACTCCTGCCTGAAATGGTCTTCTCCACCTCTCAAACCTCTTCCACCCACTAAAATTAAGTATTGCAAATTCTGCTTCTTCTCTGAAGCCTTCCCTGTTCTCTTGGCAATTTCTCCTTTTGCTATCAGATTTAGAACTCAGTGTCATCAAGGTAAAGAAATATCTTTAGTAAGCTTACAAGTGTGTGTAGAGATTCTATTTTGTGCCAAATACCATATTCAGGATAGAGAGAATACACAGTCCCTGCTTTCTGGAAACTTCTGCATGTGGGGAAGAAAGAATGCTTAGCATGCTAAATTGCAGCCGTGTGTGTGCTGGAGAAGCTCACGGAGGCACAGAGAAGGAGCACTGAGCCCAGCCGGGGACCCAGGATGACTTTCTGGAGGAGCAACCCCAGAGCTGAGCCTGGAAGGAAGGCTGATTGTGCAGACAGAGATGGGTGTGAAGAGCATTTCAGGAGTAGAGAATCACACATGGAAAGACAGAGGAGACCATGTCTCATTTCAGGAATTCAGGCAAACCAGTTGCCTGAATGAAGTGCACTGGGGAAATAGGACACGAAGCTGGAGAGGCAGCGGGCATATTGCAAAGAGCCTTGAGTGCCCATATCAGTTATCTATCATCACAGCGATGCCAGATTTAAAAATCATCCCAAACTATAGCTTAAAACAATAGTCATTTATTCTTGTTCATAGTCTCTGTGTCAGCTGGGTGGCTTCTCTGGCCTGAACTGGGCTCACTTGGGCATCTATCGTCAGAGTGAGCACTGGGGAGGCACATCTGCTGATTTTGGATGAGCTGTCTCACATGTGTGGGACTCAGCTAGCTGGGACTAGGTTTAGGATGGCCTTGAATCTTCTCCACATGTCTCCCACATCTGCAGTAGGTTAGCCTGGACATGTTCTCATGACAAGGAGGAGATGAAAAGAAGAACACACCCCATTATGCAAGAGGGCATATGTTTTACAAGCCTCTGCTTGTATCATGTTTACTAACATGACATGGGCCAAAGCAAATCACATGGATAAGCCCAGAGTCAGAATGGGAAGGAAGTTGAAGGCACAGGGCAAAGGCTATAAAAACTAGGAGGGGCCATTAATGCAATCAATCTACCATCATGTTCTATAAAGGAATTTGCATTTTATACTTATACACAAGCTGTTATTCCTATTGATTATACTTGATTAGACTATTGATTATACTCTTGAGCACAGGGACTGTATTTTATTCATGACTATATCCCCCATAGCAGTTAGCATAATATAATAATATATAAAAATAGACAATAAATTTTAGTAGAATATAACTGAATCCCTAGTTTATACAATAATTTATTATATATACACCAGCTCTGAATTTTGTAAGCCCCTTTCAAATATATTTATATGTTCAATCTCTATCATCCTTGGAGTGCATATTTCTATGTATTTTGTATCTGCTAGGCAAAATAATAATTCCTATTCACTGCCTGCATACCACCTCCTTTAAGCTTAGGAAGGCTAATTCTATTTTTTTTTTCTTGATAATCCTTATTGTCAGCCAGGCTAATTCTAATGTTGAAAGGAATGGTGAACAAATTTGTGGGCTTTTTCTTCCAGTCACTCATAATTTTGCAAATTTCAAACTAGACCCCACCCTTCCAGTAAAAGGACTTCAAACTTCTTGCCCTGCCCCCCAGCTGTTTAAACAAAGATTTTTCTTCTCCCTACCCTCCTCTCTACTCTACTCTCTTTCTTTAGGAGGCGCAATGCAGAGCTGCTTTCAGGATTCCAGAGGAAATGCTTTGGTTTGGTTTGAGGTTTTCCAAATGTCATTACAGACTTGAGGCACCAAATGCGTAGGTTACACCAAAGCAGTTTATAATTATGCACTGAGCAACAAGCCACCTAAATCCCTGTTCTGTGCACATCCTGCCTCCTGTGTCCTCATGCCTGTCCCCACAATCTACCCCCAGTCCTCGTCTAGAAATGCTGCCCAGGAAAATGGCCTTTTGTTGGGCATCAAGTGGCAAATACTTTGGAGTCATCTTTGACTCTTTCATTCCATGCTCCATATTCAATCTAGCAGCAAATCAGGTCAAGTGTATCTTCAAAATATGTCCAGAGTCTGACCACTTTGCATCCCGGCCACCACCATCACCCTGGTCCAGACCACCATGATCTCTCACATACATAAGCAAAATAGCCTCCTGCCCACTGTCACGCCCACCATGTCAACAGCAGCCAAAGTGAGAGCCTGATCATGTTGCTCCTCTGCCCAAGACTCTCCCCTTGCGCAGAACGAGAGCCACATGTCACAGTGGTCTATGAGGACCAACACATTTCCCCCACCCCCAGCTCATCACCCCCAGGTGCCTTCTCAGCTCACTGTGATCCAGCCATGGTGGTCCTCTTGCTGCTGTTGACCGTGCAGATCTGGCTGCCCCCACCGGGGGTCTTCGTCTTTGATCTTCTTCAGCCTGGACTAGGTTGCTGCAGACACCCACAGGACTCATCAGTTCTCTGTTCAAATGTCACCTCACAGAAGCCCTTGCCCAACCTCCCAGTATGAATTAGCACTCGTGGCTCCCTCCCTGCCGCACTCTCCATTTGCTCCCTATCTGACATCTTATAGATTTATTTGTATACTTGTTTATCACATGCCCCCCCCTAACACGTAAGCTCAGCAACAGCAGGAACCTACCTGTCTTGTTCACTGTTTTATCCCCAAAGACAAGAATACAGGCTTAGTGGAGGGTGGACTATCCACACACGTGTGAATCAGGCAGGCAGCTTTGCCCCACCCACATGGCACGGAAGCCTTAGGCACAGGCTGACTCTGAATGAGATTTGCTGGGTTTTATTCATCCCTTCTCTTTTTGGTCCACTCCTCAAAACTGCTCAGGATTTACTTCTGCCTATGATACTAAGAAACTTGAGGAAAATGAATTCTGCAGTATTTAAAAGGGATCAACTTTAGATATTTACTTTAAGAAAAATGAAAAGAAAGTTTCCAGCCAAATTCCTAAATTAATGTGCTTAGGAATAAAATAAACTTGTCTAATCTCCCTAGAATCACTTGGGTAATGCTGAACATGGAGTGATAATATCACAAGCTTCTCTAAATGCAAGGCAAGCACTTGCCAAACTGATCCTTTAATACCAAACAAATACCAACTTTTAAGTATATCTATTTAATGCCATTTTCCACATATCCACCTCTAATTTGTCAAACTATCAGGATCCACTGTAATTCTTGGCACATTATCCAGGCTTCACCAAGCTATCTCATGTTCATACGTCCCCTAAAGCAAAATTCTAAGTGTTGTTAACGGGAAAAGCAGCCTCGCCTTTGGCACCCCACAAGGAGAAGGGTGAATGTCCACTTTCAGATGCCAGTGCAGGGCAATTGGGCAAGTACCCTCAGCTGCATTTCTGCTTTTTCCATTCTGTTCTTCTGTTTCTTGTGACTTACTTTTCAGGGGTATAAGGCAGTGGTTTTTAAACAGGATGCTATGGCACCCCAAATGGTACTGTATGGCACCTCATTTACTTTTGCTGGAACTGAGTATGTACACTGTTACACTGAGGTCTGTCGAGATTCATCTGCAAAGAGTAAAAGGTGTGGCATCCTGGCAGACCTACAAGGACAATTGTATGCTTTCCAAAGCATGTAAACGCTTTGTTCCATGAATATATTTTAAAATATATATTAACACACCAAGGTATAAGGGCAGTAAACTTGACTGTCCTCAAGCTCAGACATGGCACTGAAAGGCAAGCACGTGAGCCATGCCCTTGCCCTACTTACTTTTATAGCTACCATGAGGTACTGTTTTATCATAATGGAAACGGTGACATCGTGTTGAGTCCTTTAAAAGCCCTTTATTTGTGTGGCCAATACTTATAGCGCTTTAAAGTGTGCTACCAACAGAAATTTGAGAGCCTCAAGTATAACAGAAAGTTTTATACTTTTTTGGAAGACCTAGGGAATAGATAACAGATTTATTCTGATTTTGGTTACCTGAGGATACTCCCTCACACAGAGTATGGAATTAAGGGGAAGCCTTAATTTAAGGATAGACTCTGCATCCCAGAAGCAATTTTCAGAAATGAATAGTCAAAGAAAATTAGACCAACCTTAAATCTGATGTCTCTATCAGAGGACATTCTATAATCTCAGAAATTCTTTTTACTTTAGTTTGTGCTCTGAGATGTAACTATCCCTCAGGGTGCCTAAAATAGAAGACTATGGGCATCACAGTGCCCCAAATTTCCAAAAATGTTCCTCCTCCTCCTGCCTCTCTGTCTTTCAACTACATTATATTGGCAGCATATTTTTTTCCTTTGAAAGTTTGTGTCTGAACCAGGGGAAAATGCCAAGGCCTCTTTTGGAGAAGTTTTTGCTTCAGTGAATTTTATAAGAGAAATTAATGTGAGAGATTCCCATCTCTGTCAATCATATTCATTCAAAATAATAGCACTTGCCAGGACCGGAGGTTGTGGGGAGGGAAGCAAAAGAGGGGGTAGAAGGTAATGTCATGAATTGTTCCCCTGCAGCTGGTATTTCTCAGTAACAACTGTTCATGCAAAACAAAAGATCACTTCAGAAAACCAGGGACAGACAAGAGACAGGCCAACAGAAAGAGGTAATTATAATCATATTTTAGAGATCAAACAGCTTGAATTACAGTTGCTAGAGCCTAGTTAAGTTTCCTGGGTCTTTCATAAGTAACATAGCAATTTAACATACCCTAACATAGCACTGCAATATTAATATAATGACAAACATATATAATGTTATCTCCAGGCATCTACCATACAACAGGTTTCTTATCTTCCACAGTGCTGGGGATAAAAGATAAGAGGCATTCTAACACAGGGAGGCAGTATAGCACAGTGGTTAAGAATAAGAGGCTTGGCATCACATCCGGTTAAAGACCCAGCTTCACCTCTTACTGCTATGTGACCTTGGGCAAGTTTCATAACTTTCCCAAAGGCTCAGTTTCCTCAACTGCTAAATGGAGATTGAATTTATCTACATCATTACAAGAATGAAGAGAGACAATGCACATAAAACATTGAGCTCAATATCTGGCCTGAAGAGGGCACTTAGTAAATGTTTGCACTTAGAGTCAATAAATGTATGAATAAACAAATACTTTGCTTTTCCTTAGACCTCCCATTCTCTATCCTCATTCTACCCCCAAGCTAAGCAAAAAGAAAGGAAGTGTTTGGAAGTAGTTGCAGCATGCTTGCCATGCCAGATTGCTAAAGGAGAATGAGATGACTCTAACTTCCTAGGCCTGGCTCTGCTGTCAGATCAAAGGCTGCCACACAGCTGTGCTCACTGCAGAGAATCCCTGCCTCTCTTCCTCTAGCATGTCCCTTTTGGGGCTGCAGGACTCCAATACATAGCAGCCACCATGCCTGCTCACTTAGGAGGGAAGTATTATGTGTAAGCACTCAAGTGGTTCCCATCCAGGAAGTAAGGCTTACAAAACTTTTATGTAGAGGCGAAAGTCCACAGTGATAATAAGAGACAGGTGTGGGAGGTAGGACCAGGAGACTCTGGGGGAAAAAAAAAATCTTTGTCTTTTTTTTTTTAATAGACAAAAACATGAAGTGTTACTAGCTTTAGAGCTTAACCATTTCCCTAAGATAGTTACGTAACTGTCCACAACTTCAAAACAACATCGAGAATGACCACATACCACGTAACCAGAACAAAAAAACAAGGGGACGTTATTTAGGTCCATGTGAACAATTAAATCAAGGAGGAATTTTACAATTACAGGTTTGCTTTGACAAAAGAACCAAAAGGCCCTCTGCACACCAAACTGATTTTATGACTGCTTTGGCCTTAGAAGAACTGGGTGGTGCTTTTACTTGCAATGGCTTATAGACTATCTGAATGTTCACACCAGAGATAAGAAATCTGGTCACATGCAAAATCCAACTGCTGCTTCTAATGAGATGCTGTTAAAACAACTTTTAAAAAATATTTCCAAAAAGAATACAGAATGCATAGACATGAAGGTATTTATTTGCCTGTGTCAGAAGTTACAGAAGTGCTAAACAACACTAAGCTTAGCTGGCCCAAAGCCAAGTGAAGCACTTCATCCTGATGGAAATTATAGTGCTGTCATTGTGTTGTAATAAGCTTCTATGAAATAGAGCATTGTGTTTCTGCTGAGTCTTGAATAAAAAATGAATCAGGATCTGGCTTCCTTGGAGAAAAGAAGAGAAATGTATTTTTGCTTGCATGGAAGAGGATAATCACTTGGTCCCACGAAATATACATTTTTGTTCATCTTTTTTAAAATTCTGCCTTTCAAAGGGAGCTATCTTTGACCCAAATCTGAAAATGCTTATTATATGTAGAAGATGTTGCCATATTTTGCTCTATAGATTTTTAGAAGAGCACTTGCTGTTTATAACTGGCTTGATATACAAGAAATTTAGGTGGAAGGAAGCAAGCTTTCGAAATAGGGCACACAGGTGATACTGCATTTTCCTGAGCTGTTTCCAGCAGCAAGTGCATAAACCTTATCAAAACTCAGTGAGCAGGTCCACAGGATATTCCTACATTTTTAAGATTCAACTATTACAGGGATAATAAGCTCAGCTTAAGTGCAGAAAGGTAAACCTGGTAAAACCAGTAATTGTTCCAGTACGAAAAGGCTCAAGCAGGTTGCCATTATGAAAGAATGGTTGTTAGTAGGGTAAGGACAAAGATCACTATAGTTCAACTTTCACATTTTTACTTTTTATCTTTTATTTCCTGAAATTGTATAATGTGGTGCCTTAGGGTAGAGACTACATAACGTTATTTTTTTACCCTAATAAAATACTCTTACAGTTACTACTATCTAGCCCAATCCTATTCTTCCCCTATTTCAATACTCTAAGAACCTCTTTCAGTTTTGAAAACATAAAAACCTTGTTATTAACTGACCTATGCTCCAAATTTATTTTATGGAGAGTCTCAGCCACTAATCTCTATTAACTTTTAGCTTCTTATTGCCTTCAATCCAAAAGTTGATGTGTCCACTAGAGTGGAAGACAAGAAAATAGCCAATAGCATATACAAACATATATATACATATACATATATAAGGGTATCTGTACCTTTGAGGAAATAACAGTATTTATAGGCACATTTCATTAAGTATTATAGAAGGCACCTTGCTAAAGGCTTTAAAACATGATCTCCTTTAATATATACTACATTTGTTTGTTTGCTTGTTTTGAGACAGGGTCTCACTCTGTTGCCCAGGCTAGAGTGCAGTGGTATCCTCATAGCTCACTGAAACCTCAAACTCCTGGGCTTAGGCAATTCTCCTGCCTCAGCCTTCCAAGTAGCTGGGACTACAGATACATGCCACCACGCCTGGCTAATTTTTCTATTTTTTGTAGAGATGAGGTCTTGTTCTTGTTCAGGCTGGTATGGGACTCCTGGCCTCAAGTGATTTTCCCACTTTGGCCTCCCAGAGTGCTAGGATTACAGGCATGAGCCACCACCCAAGCCCCATACTACATTTGTTGAAGTAGAAGTTATTATCTTCATTTTACAGATGAAGAAATTAAGACTTAAAGGAGTTAAACAACTTGCTGAGAGTTGTAGATCTAATAAATCCAGAGACTCAAGAGTTAAATCAAGCTGATTTAATATCCATTACACAATGCTGCCTCCCAACAGGTCTGTTTGCCCTGGGCAAATATTACAATTATATTTCAGAAGCAAAGGAAAAAGAGGAAGGTGGAAGCTGCTAAATGGGGAAGAAGCAAATG